AAAATGACTCTAACAATCAGGTAAGGCACTGGTTGACAGACATTTGTCCCAGACTTCAAGGTTCCTTGGTGCTACATCAGAGCCTATTGTGTGAGAGAGGAACACTAATACTTTTTCACTTTTCTATATTAGAATTCCAGGAAAAAAAGTCTTGTCACTTAAGAACAAAATTTAAAAGAAAAGAAGAAAACCACTGGCTTAAAGAAATGCTTCTAAATGGGGGTGCAGGATCTGGGCACCCAAGGAACATATGGCAATGTCTATAGACATTCTTGATTGTCACAACTGTGGGTTTAATCCACTGGTATCACGTGAGAAGAGGTCAAGGATGCTGCTCAGTTTTCTACAATACACAGGACAATCCCCCACAACAAAAAATGTTCTTCTAGTCCTAAATGTCAGTAGTATCAAGGTGGAAAAACCTTGGCCTAAAGGATGGTTTGAAGAAAGGACAGACTAGAAACAGACACACCAGTTGGGTGCAATGGCGCATGTTTCAATTCCAGATACTTGGGAGGCTGAGACAGGAGGATCAAAAGTTCAAGGCCAGCCTGAGCAACTTAGCAAGACCTTCAACAACTTAAAGAGACTCTGTCTCAAAAAATAAAAAGGGCTAGGTATGTAGCTCAATGGTAAAGTGCCACTGGGTTCAATCCCCAGTATCAAATAATCATTATCATTATCATCATCATCATCATCATCATCATAAAAAGAAATAGACATACCAATGAGATTAGTGAAATAGTTGAAAAAAATGAGGACCAGGATAAGGCAGTGGTATTAGCAGAGGGATGAAAGAAACTACTCTGAGCTGGAATCAGCAGCAACACTGAAACCATATCCTATGTGGAGAAAATGCTGAGCTGAAATCAGCACAGATACTGAGACTATATCTCATGTGGACAAGGTCATGGGAACTTTTCTACAAATGGAGGGGGCCAGGCACAAAGTTGATCTGCTAGGGGCTGTGGGAGTTGGGAATAGGACTTGGCAATAGTAGCAGAAATATGGTATTCAAGACCTGTTTTATTTTTCACTATAAACTGATCCACATTACTGCTGAAATTTTGCATATGGAGAATTGTTAAGTAAATGCTAGAACTTTAGCTCCCATGTTGTTATTGTGCTGGGGCTCAAAGCCAAGGATTTTACAAATGTTAGGCAAGTGCTCTACTACTAAGCTACATTCCCAGTCCCACATTCTTGTGACAAAAGGTTTAGTGCCATAAGAACAGAGTTAAAGGGCTGGGGCTGGGGCTCAGTGGTAGAGCCCTTGCCTGCCATGTGTGAGACACTGGGTCCAAATCTCAGCACCACATATAAATAAATAAAGGTCTATCAACAGTTAAAATATATATATATATATATATATATATATATATTATATTTTAAAAAAAGAACAGAGTTAAAGAGAAAACAGCAAGGACACTATTCAAAATCCTTATCATCTACTGTTGATCATGCCTACCTGTGGTTTATCCAGTGAGGAATATTATAGTCATCACCCAGCCGAGAATCTCGAGGAGCACTCCGATTGTGTAGCTGTGAGGGAAAAAGCACAAAGATAAGCTAAAAAAGAAGACAGACAAGGAACTGTTCCACCTTTTCTGTTTTTAACTATTTTCCAACTGGCATTTGGGAAAACAATTCAAAATCTAATCACCTTGAACAATGGGACAGCATGTAATGGTTGCTCTCCCATGCACACCAAGTCTACACCAATTCCTAAAAAAGAGTAAGGGGAGGGGAACAGCAGAGATTAGTTTTCCAATCTATTAATGATGTTATTTGGCCTGGTCTGAAGCAAAGTCAGCATACCATTTTACTTAACCTCGGTAGTGCTGCCTACTCAGCACAGTAAACAGATGCATTTTGTCTATTTTTTCTTCTATTGAATCCTGTCACACTATTCAGTGCTTGAAAATTAGCCTGAGTGCCCTCCAGGTCATGATTCATGAAAAATGACAAGGGCTCCTTTATTCAAGTTTTAAGATCAAGAAGTAAAAGGAATCTTATAATCTTGATAATATAAAATAATCTAGATCCCTTAACAGAACTTTTTTCTTTTTTTGTGTGTGGTGCTGGGTATTGAACCCAGAGATTCATACATAATAGGCAAGCACTCTACCCCTGAGCTACATCCATAGCCCCAGGGCTTCTTTATTGGCAATCATGATTTACTTTCTCAATTCTATCTCTTTGATGATACACAAATCAAACTGGGAATATGGATCCAAGATAGGGATGCATGACACATCAAAGAAAGAGGATTGGACCAGATGATTTACTAATGCTTCCACCAAACATAAACTGATGACACGTTTGTCTTTTAAAATAATCTCCCCTAGAAAGGAGTTCCTAGTGTCAAATATGTTTGAAAACTCAGAATACCAGACATTCCCTTTAGAGATAAACAAGATACATTAACATATTTAAAAATTCTGAGGAAGGGCCAGATACAGTGGTGCAAACCTATAATCTCAGCCACTCAGAAGGCTGAGGCAGGAGAATTATAAGTCTGAGGCCAGTCAGGGCAACTTAGGAAGACCTTGTCTCAATATAAAAAGGACTAGGAATGTAGCTCAGTGGTACTGTGCTTGCCTAGTATGTATGAGGCCCTGGGTCCAATCCCCCCGGCCCCCCCCCAAAAAAAAAAACTAAGAAAGATGACACACAGAACACCTTGTAGAGCTTCTCATAACTCTAAAGTCAATAAAAACTCAGAGAACAAAGGACAAGTCGGACCCTGAACACAAGAGACAGTACAAACAAGACAGTGTTACCATTATCTATCATCCTTTGTTTGGTCAAAATCATGAGTAGGCGGTCCACTTCAAAGACTCCGACCCCAGGCGTGATCACTACAGACATCTGCCCAGTCCGGTCAAAGTTKCGGTTGATATAGTGCTTGTCAAACACTTGAAAGAAAACAAAAATTCCCCAATATTGTTAACAGTTTTTCAAAAACTAGTTACTAGCAAGTATCTCTGTGCTCTGAGCATTTTATGCATATTTTGATAATAGCTATTGCCACTCTCTGACCTGAATTCTAGCTAAAATGTATATGTCTTTCCTCTTTTACATTAACAACTCCCTCAACAAAGGACTATATTACTGTTACTTTTGTCAATCCTCCTTATCAATGCTTAATATTTGCCTTGTGCAGCCTAAATGCTCAAATTTCATGCCATAAATTTAATAACCCATCAAGGAGTGTGTACTGAAACTTCCAAAATCAAATATTTATTTTAGACAATATTTAAAATATTAAACCAGAAGCTTGGGATAACTTTGTAAATCTGGCAAATTAATTTTTATTTCTAGACTCTGAAATTCTTACTATGGAAAGTCAGTGATATTCAAACTTGACAAATAGATTTACTAATAAATTACACGAAACTCTTGTTGGGCACAATGGCACATGCCTATAATCCCAGGTATTCAGGAGGCTGAGACAGAAGAAAAATTCGGCCAACTTCATCAACTTAGTAAGACACTCAGCAACTCAGTAAATCCCTATCTCAAAATAAAAAATAAAAAGGGCTGGGGATGTAGCTCAGTGGTAAAGAACTCTCAGGTTCAAGTACAAGTACCAAATATATATGTACAATTAAATAAGTAACACCATCCTCTAGAATTCTCCTGCATCTGGATACATACACTTGGGAAGGTAATATACAAAGTGAAGTGAAAATACATCACTTCCACCCAGTCCAGTGTCAAGCTGACACCAATCTGGAGCTGCTTCCCTGGAGCTGCTTCTGGCAGATTCCTTTTGCCAGAATGTAGATTTCTGAACAGAAAGCAGAGACAGGCAGGTTGTTAGGGACTAAATGTGGCTCCACAAATTCCTGCTGATGTTATTTCTGAGACACCAAGATCCTCACCTTCTCAAGCAATGAATTCATGTCTTTTCAATCTGCTTCATCAAGTCCCTGCATCTTCACATAAATTTCTTTTCATTTAAACCAATTCAGAATGTTTCTGTTATTGGCAAATAATAGTATCTCAGCTACCACAAAAACACAAGGACAATGATCCTTAGGAAGGAAATCACACCACATTTCCTAACAATTGACTCCTCTTGAAAAGTACTGATAGGGGAGTGACTTTTTCTTATTTGATATACCATTCTATACTTTTATTTATTTTTTTTAATATTTATTTTTTAGTTGTAGGTGGACCCAATATCTTTATTTTACTTTTATGTGGTGCTGAGGACCGAACCCTGTGCCTCACGCCTGCTAGGCATGCGCTCTACCACTGAGCCACAACCCCAGCCCCTACTTTTATTAATTTTTCCTTTTGTTTTTCTTTTTTTTTTTAATTGGTTCTTTTTAGTTACATACAACAGCAGAATCCATCATGATATAATTATATAAGTTGGAATATATCTTATTCTAGGTTAGAGTCCCATTCTTATGGATATACATGGTGGTGGGATTCACTGTATTGTTTTCATATGTGTACGTGGGAAAACTGTATCAGATTCATTCCACTGTCTTTCCTTTGCTTTTCGGGGGATGGGTACCAAGGATTGAACTCAGGGGCACTCAACCACTGAACCACATCCCCAGCCCTACTTTGTCTTTTATTTATAGACAGGGTCTCACAGAGTTGCTTAGCACCTCAATTTCCTGAGGCTGGCTTTGAACTCACGAATTCTCCTGCAGCCTCCTGAGCCACTGGGATGACAGGCATGTGCCACTGTGCCTGACTCCTTTGCTATTTTAAGTAATTTTTWAAAATTACCCAGAAGCAGTTGAGGGATGAGTTGAAAAATAAGAATACAGTTTGTAGTATTAAAAAAATAAAAAGAACCAAAGGAAGATTCCCTCCAGTTCTTTATGAGACTACAAAATTAATTTCCCAACAGAAGACTCAAAAGGTAAGTGTTGGTCATTAAGACCAACTAATCAGAAGTCACTACTTAGAATTAATTTGGGGAGTGGGTGGATGGAGGCATCATTGACTAGGTCTGGGACTCTGGGCATCAGTAAAGTCTATAATCATATACCAAGTAAGATGCTGGCTGTGGCTGGTGTCTGTACTTACCATTGAATGACAGATTGATGGCCTCTAGGTAGTTTCCTTGTGCTGAGGTAGAATTATCTCCTTGAGGAAAGCCCTCTGAAGCAAAAAGAGAAGGAAAAACATCTCATGAAAGATGAAAAAAATTTTTTTTCTACTGGGGATTGAACCCAGAGGTATTTTATCACTGAGCTACATACCCAATCCTTTTAATTTTGAGACAGGATGTCCCTAAATTGCCTAGGCTGTCCTTGAATTTGCAATCCTCCTACCTCAGCCTCCCAAGTCACTGGGATTACAGAAGTATGCTTATGAAAAATGAATTCTTAAAAAATTAGTAGAAGGATCATGTTAATTGAAATAAGCCAATCCAAAAAAACCAAAGGCCAAAAGTTCTCTCTGATATGCAGATGCTAACACAATAAGGATGGGGGCAGGGGGATAGAAGTTCACTGGATTAGACAAAGGGGAATGAAGAGAAGGGGGTGTGGAGGATGAGAAGAGGAAGGACAGTAGAATGAATCTGACATAACTTTATAATGTTCATATATGAATACATGAAAAGTATAACTCCACATGTATAACCACAAGAATGGAAATTATACTCCATATATATATATATATATATATATATATATATATATATATATATCATGTCAAAATATACTCTACTGTTATATATAACTAAGTTATACTCCATGTATATATAACATGTCAAAAAACACTCTACTGTCATATATAACTAAAAAGAACAAATTGAAAAAAAAATATTGGAAGGTATCTGGTTCTATAGGGTTTCCCCCTCACCTGTATTAGGGACACTGTTCAACTTAACTGCATATGTAATGAACAAATGCATCCAATCAGAAATAAAAACCTGACTAGAAGCAGAAACGTCAAATGGCAATGGAAGAGAAATAAGCATGAACTTCTTTTAATCTCTAGCCTCCATCCTACACCTCCTCTCCCCACCCCACCTCCTATCATATAAATGCAGTACCTGCCTGTTCCAGTCGCACCAAAACTGGATACTGGATGAAGAGCTTTTTAATGGTCACTAGAAGTGAAGTCCATTCTTCTCTTCTCTCATTCTGCACAACCACTCTGAAAATAGTATTATATAAAAGAGATATCAAGCAGTAATTATTAACAGGATATCAAGTCCCTTACAGAGACTCAAGGAAAAAGGAAGACAGGATTCATAGAGTCAGGGAAATTCACTACATAATAATAAAGTCGACTGTATTCAACAAACATAAAGAAATGTGATGGGGCTGAGGTTGTGGCTCAGGGGTAGAGCGTCCACCTAGCATGTGCAAGGCCCTGGGTTCGATTCTCAGCACCACATAAAAATAAACAAATAAAATAAAGGTACTGTGTGCACCTACAACTAAAAAATAAATCTTTTTAAAAATAAATAAATAAATGTGATATTAATATTCATATAAATTATGATGACATTAATATTCATATAAATTATCCAGAACCTTGCATACCACTAAGCTATAGCCCCAGTCAATAGTTATATAAATTCTAAATTTTTTTAAATATATGAAAATAAGCCAAGTGCAACGGCACACAGCTGTAATCCCAGTTACTCAGGAGCTTAGGTGGAGGATCACAACTTCAAGGCCAGCCTTGGCATTAGTAAGACCTCATGTCAAAATAAAAATTTAAAAAATGGGGGCTGAGGGCTGGGGATGTGGCTCAAGTGGTAACGCGCTTGTCTGGCATGTGTGGGGCGCTGGGTTTGATCCTCAACACCACATAAAAAATAAAAATAAAGATATTGTGTCCACCTAAAACTAAAAAAAAAAAAAAAAAAAAAAAAATGGGGGCTGAGGTTGTAGCTCAGTGGTAGAGCACTTGCCTAGCATATGTGAGGCACTGGGTTCAATCCTCAGCACTACATAAAAATAAATAAAATAAAAGTATCCATCTACAACTAAAAAAAAWTTTTTTAATTTTTTAAAAAATTTAAATGGAGCTGGGAATATAGCTCAGTAAAAGCATCCCTAGATTCAATCCCAGTATTTAAAAAAAAAAAAAAAAGGAAAAAACACATTGATATTATGTCAATGCCTAAAGTTGGGCAGKGATATTAAGATCTATACATACTGTTGAGGGCATGTAAACTTTGATAAATTGCAACTAGGGGGTACATATTAAAAACCTTAAAAAGGAACATCCGTATTCCAGATATATCCAACAAATACACCCAGATCAGAAAGCTAGATAACAAAGGGGAGGTTGGGGTTGTGGCTCAGTGGTAGAGCACTCACCTAGCACATGCGAGGCCCTGAGTTCAATCCTCAGCACCACACAAAAATAAATAAATAAAATAAAGGTATTAAAAAAAAAAAAAAAAGAACAAAGGGATGGGTGGGAATCTGCCTATCGTATACTCTGTGTACTTTAAAAATTAGAACCACATGAATGTATTCCAAAAACAATAATAAATTAAAATTCTAAAAATATATATACTTCCCTTTAATCATTTTGTGTGTGTGTGTGTGTGTGTGTGTATGTGTGTGTGAGAGGGAGAGAGAGAGAGAAAGAGAGATTAAACACAGGGCTTTACAGGCTAGGCAACCACTGAGCTATATCCCCATCCTTTATATATTTTTTAAATTTATTTGTTTATTGCCAGGCACAGTGGCACTCACCTGTAATCTCAACTCCATAGGCTGAGGCAGAAGCATTACAAGTTCAAGACCAACCTCAACAACTTATCAATACTCTGTCTCAAAATGAAAATTAAAAGGACTGGGATGTATAACTAAAAAGAACAAACTAAAAAAAACAAAAAATTTAAAAAGGAGGGAGGGGCTGGAGTATAGCTCAGTGGTAGAATGCTTGCCTAAGATGGGTGAGTCCCTAGGTTCCATCCTCAGCACCACATAAAAATAAATAAACAACAAACAACAAATAAATAAAATAAAGGTTAAATTACTTTTTTTAAAAAAGACTAGGGATGTAGCTCAGGGGTAAAGTGCTTCTGAGTTCAATCTCCAGTATCTAGGAAAAAAACAGACTGTTCACTGGTAATGACGATAGTAAAAAGTTGGAAATCACCTAAACATTTAACAATAGTAACCAAAAGAATGTCTAAATAGCAATAAAAAAAGGTATTATAGAAGTAGAGTGTTTGACATGGAATGATGATAAAGTAAGTAGGAAAATGCAGGTATAAAACAGCAGGGGGGAGCTGGGGTTATGGCTGAGTGGTAGAGCCCTTTCCTGGCATGTATGAGGCCCTGGGTTCGATCCTCAGGAAAAGAAAAGAAAACAAAAGAGTCTGTCCATCTACAATCTAAAATTTTTTTAAAACATTAAAAATAAAAAAAATAAAACAGAAGGTTAAAAAAATCAATGGAATGTTTGATTACAACTCTGTGAAAATTAATTTTTGTTTCTATAAACATAGAACACGGATTGATTCACCAAGTTGGTGATGAGTGTATCTAGGAGATAGAATTGAGGGTATTACTCTTTACTTAACTATATTGTGATTTTCCTAAAACATCTTGTATCATTTCATTCATTCTGGAAAATGTTGGAAAGGCATTTTAATCACATAAAAAAAATTTAACATAATAATAATATATAACATAAACCATTAGTCTACATTAATAATTCATATTCCTAATTTACATCTTTTATATATTTGTAATTATATTCAAATGCATTAATATTTATCATATAGATATAATTATATATATATATATATTTTTTTTTTTTTTTTTAAGCCAAAAGAGCTCCAGGATCCCACTGAACTGGTATGCAGCATTTATCTGTACGAGGGATGACTGATGGTGTTGAGAAAGAAGATGGCCCATCGCTTTCAGAAAATTCTCCAAGAGATACACCACCCAAAAAAAGTTCAATAATATTGTTAATAATATTCATTCTGTGTATTAAAACACCAAAACTTATTCCTCTTATTTGGTTGTCACTTTGTAACTGGTATGCAATCATCCTCACATACCCTACTTCCCTGTCTTCCCCAGCCTGTGGTAACCACTACTCTGTTCTCTACTTCTATGAGCTCAATTTTTTTAGATTCCAAATATAAGTGATATCATGTGACATCTGTCTTTCGATGCCTGGCTTACTGTACTGAAATAACACACTAAATCCCAGAAAGATATATTATGTTAATTTAAAATAAAGAAAAAGATCAACAAATAATTTAAAATACAATCAGTATTAGGTTGAAGAATACAGTGATTAAAAGCAGACTCTGATTTAGACTGCATCAAACCCAGCATATTTCATTGTCTTTGGGTAAGTTACCTAAACTCTGTGTACAAACTTCTACAACCATAAAATGGGATAAAAGTAACTATTTCAATAAGGATGTTGTGTTATTTAACTGAATCAAGTTATATAAAGGCCCTAAAATAGTATCCCATACATGGTAAGTCTGGAATAAACAAAATAATTACCATCTTTTTTGGTGGGGGCGTGGGAGCGGGTACCAGGGATTGAACTCAAGGGTACTCAACCTGAGCCACATCGCCAGCCAGCCCTTTTGTATTTTATTTAGAGACAGGGTCTCACTGAGTTGCTTAGTGCTTCCATTTTGCTGAGGTTGGCTTTGAACTCTCAATCCTCCAGCCTTAGCCTTCCAAGACTCTGGGAATACAGACATACGACACTGCACCCAGCTTAATTACCATCTTATCGTCATCTTTTTTTTATATAAACCTTTTTTTTTTTTTTAATGTGGTGCTGAGGATCAAACCCAGGGCCTCACAYGTGCTAGGCAAGTGCTCTACTGCTGAATCACAACCCCCAGCCCCTTATCATCATCTTAACAGGACAGTGGAGCTGCTAATATTTTCTACCTTGTGCCATTTTATATTTTTCAAACTTCCTGTGATAAACCTATGTTATTTTTTAAACTACATAAAATGGTAATTCAAGCTAAGCATAGTGTTACATGCCTATAACCTTAACTATTCAGGAGGCTAACTAAGGCAGGAAGATCACAAATTTAAGGTCAGTCTGGGCAACTTAGTGAGATCCTGTCTCAAAATAAAATCTTAAAAAGGCCAGTCTTGATCACTCATGCCTGTAATCCCAGCAATCAGGAGGCTGGGGCTAGAAGACAAAAGTTCATGGCTAGCCTGGGCAACTGAACAAGACGCTACCTCAAAATTTTTTAAATAAATAGATAAATAGGGCTGGGGAAGTAGTTCAGTAGCAGAGTGTCCCTGGATTCAATCCTCAGTACCACAAGGGAAAAGGTTATCTTAAAAATTGCCTAAGGGCTGGGGATATAGCTCAGTTAATAGAGTGTCTGCCTTGTATGCACAAGGCCCTAGGTTCAATCCCCAGTACCACAAAAAAAAAAAAAAAGAAAGAAAGAAAGAAAACAAATTGCCTAAAAAGTTTCCACAATTTCTGTCACTCTTTAGAACTTATCAATACTAATTAAAAACAAAATTATAGTTAATAAAGTACTTACACTTTTTTATTTTGCAGTACCAAGGATTAAACCCAGGGGATCTCTACACTGATCTACTTACTCAGTGACACTGCAGGGACACCAGACTCATCTCTGTCCTGCTGAGATACATGTGAGGTACAAAGCATCAATGAGACAATCTTACTAATAAAATAAATAAAAAGTGTCTGAGCTATGGCTCAGTGGTTAAGCTCCCTTGAGTTCAATCCTTAGTAACAAACAAACAAACAGGGTTGGGGATGTAATTCAGTAATAAAGCAACCCTAAGTCAAATCTCTAGTACCAAAAAAAATAAAAATAAGTAAGTAAATTTAATTTAAGCTAGGAATGTTGGTGCTCGCCTATAATTCCAGTGATTCAGGATACTGAGGCAGGAGGATAGCAAATTCAAGGCCAGCCTTGGCAATTTAGCAATGCCCTGTCTCAAAATAAAAATAAAAAGAACAGGAGATATAGATCAGTGGTAAAGTGCCCCTGGCATCAATTCCCAGTCCTCCTGCAATATAAAATAAATTATGATTTTAATAAATTTAATTTTAAAAAATGAAAATAGCTGGAAATAGTGATACATGCCTATAATCCCAGCAACTCAGGAGGGGAGGATCACAAGTTTGAGGCCAGCTTTGGCAAGACCCTATCTCAAAATAAAATTTTAAAAAGAGCTGGGTCTTCAGCTCCAAGGCAGAATGCTCCTGGGTTCAATTTCCAGTATGATAAGCTAATTAGGGGCTGGGGATGTGGCTCAAGCGGTAGCGCGCTCGCCTGGCAAGCGTGCGGCCCGGGTTCGATCCTCAGCACCACATACCAACAAAGATGTTGTGTCCGTCGAGAACTAAAAATAAATATTAAAAATTCTCTCTCTCTCTCTCTCTCTCTCTCTCTCTCTCTCTCTCTCTCCTCTCTCACTCTCTCTTAAAAAAAAAAAAAAAAGCTAATTAAAAAATAAAAACAAAAATGCCCCCTTACTCAGTGACACTGCAGGGACACCAGACTCATCTCTGTCCTGCTGCAATACATGTGAGGTACAAAGCATCAACGAGACAATGTTACTAAAAAAGATTCAACTAAGTCTTCAAAGCAGGGCTTCTCAATGCAGGCACCTTTTTTTTTTTTTAATTAATACAGCATTACAGTTAAACACAGTAGTTGGGTTTATCCTGATTAATTTGTAATGCATAGAATTTAAGTTCATGTTCCCCACTTTTCTCACTCCTCCTCCCTTCCTGTTCTCCTTCATCTACTCTACTGATCTTCCTTTCATTCTTCTATTTATTTATTTTTTGTTGGTTATTTCTATTTATCCATAAAGGTAAAATTCCCTGTGGTATATTTATATATACACGTAGCATGATTTTTTAAATCTTTTCTGCATTTCCTCCCCTTTCCCATCCTTCCTCTCTCCTTCCTGATCTTCTTCTCTTCTACTGATCTTCCCTTTATCTTTATGATATCCAATCCTCTCCTCCTTTCCTTTATTTTATTCTAGCTTCCACATATGAGTTTACCCTTGATTTTCTAACACTGGCTCATTTCATTTAGACTGATGTTCTCCATTTCCATCCATTTACAAGCAAATGCCATAATTCCATTCTTCTTTACGGCTGAGTAAAACTCCATTGTGTGTATATACCACAATTTCTTCATCTATTCATCTATAACACATATCTAGGTTAATTCCATGATAATTGTGAATTGTGCTGCTATAAACTTTGAAGTGGCTGTATCACTATAGTATGATTCTTTGGGATATATACCAAAGAGTGAAATAGCTGGGTCATATAGTGATTCCATTCCTAATTCCATGTAGGCACCATTAATATTTTGAGCAAAATAACTGTGAGGGACTACTTTCTGCATTGTGGGACATTTAGAAAAATTCCTGATTTCTACCCACTACATACCAGCTGCATACCTTCTTCCCACTACCCATTTAAGAAAATAAGAAWTATCTCAAGACATGACTAAATATCCTGGAGCAGAGAACCTCAGTTGTAACCTCTAGTTTACAGAATAAGTAAGTTAAAACTTATTGCATACACATGCAATCACATAAATCCAGAAAGGGTATTCTACAGCCTTCCTACTCAAATTGTTGTGTAAACACCAGCAATATGTGAAAACACAGGAGCTAGCTAGAAAAGCAAATTTATCCCATCCAATCCCAAACTGATAAGAAAAAACATTTTAAGTCAGACACAGTGGTACATACCTGAGGCTGAGACAGGAAGATTGCAAACTTGAGGCAAGCCTGAGCAATTTAATAAGAGCTTGTCTCAAAATAAAATCTAAAAATAGACTGGGATGAAAGCAGGGCATGGTGGTGCACACCTGTAATCCCAGCAGCTCAGGAGGCTGAGACAGGAGGATCACAAGTTCAAAGCCAGCCTCAGCAAAAGGCGAGGTGCTGAACAACTCAGTGAGAGCCTGTCTCTAAATAAAATACAAAATAGGGCTGGGGATCAGGCTCAGTGGTCGAGTGGCCCCGAGTTCAATCCCCAGTACCACAAAAAAATAAAATTTTTAAATTAAATAAAAAGAGCTCAGGATGTGGCTCAGTGGTTAACTGCCCTGGGATTCAATCCCTTGGGTACTAAAAAAAAAAACAAAAAAAAAAAACAAAAAAAAAACAAAGGACCTGGGATGTAGCTCAGTGGTAGAACACTTACCTAACATGAGCAAGGTCCTAAATTTGACTAGTACCAGGGGGAAAAAAAAAGTTTACAGGATAAGCATTTTGTACAAAATCCCAGTGGGTAGATCACATGCACATTAAAGTATATTGTTTATTTTTCTTTTTTTCATTCTTTTTAGGGCTAGGGATTAAATCCAGGCAAATGCTCCTCAGTTCCAGAACTACTAACCTAGAGTCTTCAACAAGTGAATGGTTAAAACCAACACAGTGGCACATGCATGAAACCCCAGAGGCCCAGGACACTGAAGCAGGATCCCAAGTTCAAGGTGAGTCTCAGCAACTTAGTGAGGCTGTCTCAAATTAAAAAATAAAAAGGGATAGGGATGTGGTTCAGTGGGACAGCACCCCAGGCTTAATACTGGGTGAGGAGGAGAATATTTAATCCCCAATACTGGGTGAGGGGGGAATAGACTAAACATAAATTATTCTGAGGACAACTAAGGAAATCTGAATACACACTACATTGTGTATGATACAACAGAATTACTATTACAACGTTTTAATTGTGAAATGTGATAATAATATTATTTTATATATAAAAATGTTCTGTTTTAGAGTAGGGAAGAAGAGCATGAGAAGAAGATTACCACTAAACAGGGACAAGAGGTGGGAGGGAATAGGAGGGAGAAGGGAAATTGCACGGAAAAAGGAAGGAGACCCTCATTGTTATACAAAATTACATATATSATAGTGTGAGGGGGAAGAGGAAAAAAAAGAGAGAGAGAGAAATGTGTCACAGTAGATTGGGTAGAGAGAGGTGATGGGAGGGGAGAGGAGGGAAGGGGGGATAGGAAGGGCAACAGAATACAACAGACATTAATATTGCTGTATGTATAAATGTGGCTGTATAACCAATGTGATCCTGCAATCTGTACACGTGGAAAAATAAGAATTCATACCCCATTTGAATCAAATGTATGATATGTCAAGATCATTGTATTATCTTGAGCAACTAATAAAAAAAATGTTCTGTTTTGGTTTTGCATAAGAATAAAATGTTATAATATCTACAATTTACTTTAAAATAAAATTTAGCCAAAAAATGTATGAAGCAAAATAATAACCGATAAATCCAGGGATTGGGTACGTAGGTTTGTTATATTATTTATTCACTCCTTTTTTTTCTGCATGTTACCATTTTTCAGAACAACAAGTTTGGAAGGTTTAAAAATGTGTACATAAATCAACACATATCAAACTTAATAAAAGTACTAGGAAAAAAAGTATGGAAGGTTTAAATACAAACAGTATGCTAGATTAGATCCTAGAACAACAAAAAGTACATGAATGGTATAAGTTGTGAAATCTGAAAATTCTGAAATTTTGTTAATGCTAGTGACCCAATGCTAATCTCCTAATTTTAGCAAATGTTACTTGGTTATGAAAATTGGTTAACATCAAAAGAAAGTTTTAACATTATAAAGGAACTCTTTATAGTGTACTATCAACAATCTCTTTGTAAATGTAAAATTATTTCAAAATAAAAAGGTTAATTAATTTAATTATTTTAAGTTAGAAAAGAATCAATTAATCAACCAACCAATACATACATAGTGAAGTACCCGAACATACTTGTAAAAGTCTTCATAGAATCGCCCTTTGTGATCCTGTCGAATTGAGGCTTGATTTATTTCAGGAAATTCATCTGAAAAAGAGCCAATATAGTATTTAGAGCATATTGAAAAAAATAAATTCACAGCTTTGTAAGCTTCCTCTTCTGGGTTGAAGATTTGTATAACAAAAATATGAAGATAATTGTGTATCTATTACGTTCATTTTATGATGAATCACAATCCACAGACTTCTTACATACACTGATATACTATGCTATTTTATTTTCTATTTTACCCTGTTCTCATACAAAGAAGATGAAAAGAGTAGCTGGGGATAAATGTAGATAACCAAGCAAGGTGATGTGCACCCGGATTCCCAATTATTACTCAGGAGGCTGAGGCAAAAGGAACCAATGAGCCCAGGAGTTTGAGTTATGCAACATAGATTTTASTCTCAAATAAATAACAAAAACTAAAAAAGAAAAAAAATTACTCACCAATAGATTTTGCATCATAGAAAGTTCTAGAAAACAGAACCACTGTCACTTCATGACTGCAGTTCTTCTCCTAAGCATAAGTAGAGAATAAAAGGACTCAAGTTTATTTCATTTACTTCACAATATAGCGGCCTGCATGTACACAATATTCTATTTTAGGAGATTCAGCAATAGCGCACAGAATTGAGTAATGACGTCATATAATTGTAGAAAGCATATAGGACAGAGCACTACTGAGAGTCAGAAGACTGATCAAGTCCTGGCTCTGAAACTTACCACACATGACCTTGCGCAAGTTACCCAAAGCCCCAGGAATGTACAAAGTGCTTGAAAACCCGCAAATCACCAATATGCAAATGTTCCTATCTTCCAACTCTTAATTTAGCATGAAATCAGTCATTCCAGTATTTAAAACTCAAGATGTTTGCACTTGTTTTACAGTAGTGTATTTTTTGTGGGTTTTTTTTTTTTTTTTTATTTCCTCAGACTTCAATCTAGGGAAGAAGAATAGCACTCAATGTATTGGATTCAAGATCAAAAATACTTCCATATCTAATCACCATTGTAGCATGAGGAATAGGGGCTGCCGGAGAAATGGAGGTATAAGCCAAGGGCATAAATTATCTTTTAGATGGGGAGTGAGAGCTACTGAGAATAAATATTTCCATGGAGTCTGGAGATAACATCCTAAAAGAAGGGTGTTTACAGACGGATGTGAAATGTGGCTACTTGTAATAAGTTAGTAAGCTCAGTTTCAGTTCTTCCAACCCCATCTCTATCCCAACAATACTTTCTAATCATATAATTCAGTATTCACCATATAGGCATACAACTTAATGCACTATATACCACTATATGTTCTTCCATGGCTGTATCTCAAGTGTACAGAAATTCCTAAATACAAGTCACAGTACCAAGAACGGAGGACTAGAAAAGAACAGACCTTCATTAACTACCCACTAAGTTACTGAACTCCAAATGCTCCAAAGTCAACATTCTTGTCAAATTTTGATATAAGAGGTTCACAGAAAATAGGTCACAATGCACTAGAGTGGGCAGAAGAGTTTCTTGACTCATGTGATGGAAAAAGAGGGATTACTTTTCTTTCCATTTTGCAGAAAAGGAAAGTGATGCTGAGAGAGACTGAATAATTCTCCAACATCAAAAAGCTAATCAGGCTGATGGCACATGCCTATAATTCCAGCAATTCAGGAGGCTGAAGCAGGAGGATCGAAAGTTCAAGGCCAGCCTTAGCAATTTAATGAGGTCCTAAGCAACTCAGCAAGACCCTGTATCAAAACATATTTTTTAAAAAAAGGGCTGGGGGGGGGGAATAACTTTATGTTCTTTTCCACTACATAATATGACCTGAAATACTTTTTTGATCAGGATGATGTTTCCATGTGAAATAAAGGTCAGCTAATTTGTAGGTTTTTAAAAATTGTGGTAAAATAAATGTAACATAAATGTACTATTAGTGTCATTTACTACATTTACAGTGTTGTGCAACCATCACTACTACATAGTTCCAGAACATTTTCATCACCCCAAAAGGAAATCCCATGTCATAGTCACTCCACCCTCAGTCCATTGCAACCACAAATCTACTATTCACCTCTATATATTTGTTTATTCTGGACATTTCAGGCAAATGAAATGGTCATTTGTTTAGATTTTCCCATTTAGCATGTTTTCAAGATTCATCTTGGTGGCACATGCCTATAATCCCAGCAACCCAAGAGACTGAGGCAGGAGGCTCATTAGTTCAAGGTCAGCCACAGCAACTTAGCAAGGCCCTAAGCAACTGAGCAAGACTATATCTAAATAAAATATTTAAAAGATATGGGAACATGGCTCAGTGGTTAAGCACCCCTGGGTACCAAAAAAAAAAAAAATCATCCATGTCATAGCATATATTAGTACTTCATTCCTTTTTGCAGCTGAACATACTATATTGTATGGATATTCCTGATTTTATTTATTCAYTCATTAGCTTACAGATATTTGTGTTGTTTCCACTTGTTATCTATTATGAATAATGTTGTTAGGGATATGCATGTGGGATGGAAGTATAGTTCAGTGGTAGAGTAACTTGCCTAGCATGTATGARGCCCTAGGTTCAATCCCCAGCACACACAAAAAAAGAATATGCACATATGAGTTTTTGTGTGAATATGTTTTCAATTCTATCAAGTATAACTTGCCCTCCATATGAATGGATCCACTCTCCACAAATAACCAACCATAGATCAAACATACTCAAGAAAAAAATTTCATCATACTGAATATGTACAAACTTTTTTCTTCCCATTATTTCCTAAAGAATACAACACAGCAATTATTTGCACAGTGGTTACCTTATATTACGTATTGTAAATAATCTAAAGATTATTTAAAGTATATGGAAAGACACATAGATTTTATGCAAAAGTTACACCATTTTATATAAGGAACTTGAGCATCCATTCCAAAGATTTTGGTATCCACAGGAGGACCTGGAACTCTATGGATAATGAGGAATGATTATAGACTCCCAARTATGGAACTGCTGGGTCACACAGAAATTCCATTTAATTTATTAAGGAAATAACAACTTATTTTCCATAGTGGCCATACCATTTTACATTCCCAGCCACAATATATAAGAGTTTCAAATTCTCCATATTCTCTCTAATACTTATTATACATASTTCATTTTATAAAAAAGTATTATTAGATACAAAATAGTGCTGGGGATGCGGCTCAGAGGTTGGGTGTCACTGAGTTCAATCCCTGGTACCAAAAAAAAAAAAAAAAAAGTATTCCTAGAGCCTGGGAATGTGATTCAATGGTAGAGCATATATGAGGTCCTGGGTTAAGTCCTAGCATCACACACCCACATGCACATATATGTATGTATGTATAATTAGTTGTCTTAGCAAATGTGAAGTGGTATTTCACTGTGGTATTAGCTTGTATTTTCCTAATGACTAATACTTGGACACCTTTTTACATACTTATCCATTTGTATATGTTCTTCGGAGAAATATATATTCAAGTCCTTTGTCCATTTATTAATTAGTGTGACTTCTTGAGTTCTAAAAGTTGCTGATATTTTCTCAATGCTATTTTCACTTTCTTGCTAGTGTCCTTTGAGGCACAAAGTTTTCAGTGTGTCTGCGTGTGTGTGTGTATGTAAATTGAAACCAGAGGACCTTGTACATGCTAAGCACATGCTCAACCACTGAACTACAACTACAACTCTGTTGAACTTTCATTTTTTAAAAAATATTTTTAGTTGAAGATGGACACAATACCTTTGTTTATTTAATTTTTTTATGTGGTGCTGGGGATCAAACCCAGTGCCTCACAATAGCTAGGCAAGCGCTCTATCACTGAGCCACAACCCTAGCCCATATTTTCAAAGTTTAATTTATTTATTTCTTCTTCAGTTTGTTGTACTTTTGCTGACATCTAAGAAGCCCTGCCAAATCCAAGATCATAAAGATTTCCCTTAAGTGTTTTTTTAAGAGTTTCAAGGTTTTAGCTCTTATATTTAGGTCTTTAATTTTGGTTAATCTTTATATWTGATTGAGATAAGGATCCAAATTCATTCTTTTCCATATGGATATACAGTTGTCCCAGACCACTTGTTGAAGATATTGTTCTTTCCCCAACTATATGAACTTAAAACCCTTATCCAAAATCAACTACCATAGATTTCTGGACTTTTAATTCTATTCTACTGATCTATATGTGTATCTTTATTCTAGTATCACTGTTGTAATGACTGTAGCTTTGTAGTAAGTTTTAAAATTAGTTAAATTTGAATCCTCCAAATTTTTTCTCCTTTACAAGACTGTTTCTGGCTGTTCAGGATTTCTTGAAATTCCACATGAACTTAGAATCAACCTTTCCAGGGCTGGGGATGTGGCTCAAGCAGTAGCGCGCTCGCCTGGCATGCGTGCGGCCCAGGTTCGATCCTCAGCACCACATACAAACAAAGATGTTGTGTCCGCCGAGAACTAAAAAAAAAATATTAAAAATTCTCTCTCTCTCTCCCCTCTCTCACTCTCTCTTAAAAAAAAAAAAAAGAATCAACCTTTCCATTTCTGCAAAAAGGTACTGAACTGTAGATTGCTTTGAGTAGTATAGTCATTTTAACAACATCAAGTATTTCAATCTGTGAATACAAGCTCTCTTTCTTTTTATTTGGGTCTTTATTAATTTCTTTCAGTAAGGTTTCATAGATTTTAGTATACAAGTCCTGCCAGTCCTTGGATAAATTATTTCCTGAAGTATTTTATTCCTTCTGATGTTATTGTAAATGCTATCTCTAATTTCCTTTTTTGGTTGTTCTTTGATGGTATACAAATATCAATTTTCTGTGAAGATTTTATATCCAGAAACTCTACTTGATTTAGCACTAATAAATTTTTTGTAGATGGATTTTTAGGATTTTCTACATATAGGATCATGTTATTGGAAAACAAAAATAAGTTTTACTTCTTTTCCTATTTGGATATCTTTTTTTTMATTTTTTATTTGTTTTAATTAGTTATATATGACAGTAGAATGCACTTATATACTTTGATATATCATACATAGATGTGATATAATTTCTCATTTTTCTGAGTATACATATTATAGAATCACATTGGTCCTACAGTTACATATATACATAAAGTAATAATGTCTGTTTCATTCTACTATCTTTCTTATCCCCAAATCCCCTGCCTTCCCCTCCTTTCACTTCCATCTACCTAAAGTAACGCTTTTTTTTTTGCATTACAATTCTTAATACACATATATATCACAATTTTTGTATCTGTTTGTGTATAAAGTATATTGACACCTAAATCTTTTTTTTTTTTTTTTTTTTTTTTAGAGAGAGAGAGAGACAGACAGAGAGGGAATTTTAATATTTATCTTTTTTAGTTTTGGCAGACACAACATCTTTGTTTGTATGTGGTGCTGAGGATGGAACCTGGGCCGCACGCACACCAGGAGAGCGTGCTACCGCTTGAGCCACATCCCCAGCCCCAACACACACCTAAATCTTTATACATGTACTTTGTATAAGGATGTCCATCACATTCCACCATCCTTGCTAATTCCCTGCCCCCTCCCTTTTTCTCCCACCCCTCTTCCCTATCTAGAATTCATCTATTCCTCCCATGCTCTCCCTCCCTACCCCACTATGAGTCARCCTCCTTATATCAGAGAAAACATTTGGTATTTGTTTTTGGGGGATTGGCTGACTTCACTTAGCATTATCTTCTCCAAAACCATCCATTTACCTGCAAATGCCATGGTTTTGTTCTTTTTTAATGCTGAGTAAAATTCCATTGTGTATATGCCACATTTTTTTTTATCCATTCATCCACTGAAAGACATCTAGGTTGGCGCCACAGTTTAGCTATTGTAAACTGTGCTGCTATAAACATTAAAAACAGTATGCTGTTTTTAAGTCCTTTGGGTATAGTCTGGGGAGAGGAATAGCTGGGTCAAATAGTGGTTCCATACCCAGTTTTCCAAGGAATCTCCATACTGCTTTCCATATTGGCTGCACCAATGTTCAGTCCCACCAGCCATGTATGAGTGTCCTCGCCAACACTTATTGTTGTTTGGCTTCATAATAGCTGCCATTCTGACTGGAGTGAGATGATATCTTAGAGTGGTTTTGATTTGCATTTCTCTGATTGCTAGAGATGATGAGCATTTTTTCAAATATTTGTTGATTGATTGTATTATTTGAATATCTTTTATTTCTTTTGTTGCCTAGTTGCTCTGCCTAGAACTCCTAGAACAATGTTGAATACCAGCGGCAAAAACAAGCACCCTTATTCCTGATTCTAAGTTAAAGTTTTCAGTCTTTCAAACTTGAGTATGATATCAGCTATGGGTTTCATAAATACTCTTTACCATATTGAAATGATACTTAGTTTAGAGTTGAAGTTTTAGGTAACATAGCTTAATTTAAAGCAACTTAATAGAAACAATCCATTTTAAAAATCTGCATTGATTTTTTGATCTTTGTAAATGCCAAGAAGTGGGTTATATGGTGATTCCATTCTTATTTTTTTGAAGAATCTCTCATGGATTTCCAAAGTGGTTGTACTAAATTGCAGTCCACCAACAATGTATCTGTGTACCTTTTCACCCACATCATCACCAGTATTTATTACTATTGGTGTTCTTGATAATTGCCATCCTAATTAGAGTGAGATAAAATCTTAGAATAGTTTTGACTTGCATTTCCCTGATTGCTAGAGGTGCTAACCATTTTTTTCATATATTTATTGGTCATTTGTTTTTCTTTTGAGAAACTTCTGGTTAGTTCTTTTGCCCATTTATCGACTGAGTTATTCTTTTGGCATTGGGTTTTTTGAGTTGTTTATTAATTCTAAATATTAATCCCTGTCAGAGGAGTAGCTGGCAAAGATTATTTTTGTATTCTGTTGGCCCTCTCTTCACACTCTTAATCATTTCCTTTGCTCTGCAGAAGCTTTAATTTGATGGCATCTCACTTATTGAGATGGTTTTATTTCCTGAGCTTTAGGGGTCAGCATACTATAGTCATATAGCCACTTCAATGTTTATAGCAGCATAATTATGGAATCGGCCCAGATGCCCATCACATATATATATACAATAGAGTTTTACTCAGCCATAAAGAAGGATGAAATAATGGCATCTGCCAGCAAATACATGGCAATGAAGAATATCACACTAAGTGATAAAAAGTGATATATGAATTGCTTTTTTGTGTATTTTTGGTGGTGCTGAGGATTGAACCCAGGGCCTCATACATGCTAGGCAAGCACTCTACCACTGAGCCACATCCCCAGCCAGTGCTAAGTGATATAAGCCAGCAGAAAATCAAGAGTCAAATGTCTTTTCTCATATATGGAAGATAGATCAAATAAGGGAAAGAAAGCAGTGGGGGAGTGGTGCAGGGGATTAGATATCACAAATAATAGGAAAGATCAGTAGAACAAAGAAGAACAAAAGGGAGGGAAGAAGGATGGAAAAGGGGAAGAAATATGGAATTAATTAAACAAAATCATGTTATATGAATACATAAATGTACCAGAAGGAATTTCAACTTTCTGTATAAGTAGAAAGTACCAATGAAAAATAAATAAAGGAGCAAAAAGAAGACCAGTAGAGCACAGGAAGGAGAATATGGGGAGGAAAGAGGGGAGGAAAAAGCAGGCAGGAAATAGGGATTGAAATCAAATCCCTAGCATGTAATGAACCCAACTACTATAACTGTAATGCTCTAATTTTTAAAAAAAAAAAAAATCTGCATTGACCAATATTTATCCAATGAGACTTAGTTTAGAAGAAGAAACATACCTTCCACTTGGTAAATAGATCAGCAAGGAAACCATTCACAGCTTTCTCAAAATACAGATCCCCTGAAAAGAAATAGTAAGAATATGAGAACTAACCTTATTTCTTGCTTTCATTCTTCTCTAAAAAATAAAAGAAATGAGACCAAAGAGAAAATGGTAGACTCTGCTAGACCTTAAAASAAGATCATAAAAGTCAAAAGTACAAGGAGATTTGTTTCATCCTAGACTTTCTATCAAGCCAAATTTAATATCTGTTTCCCTTAGTTGTAGGCCATGGCTTCAAGGTAAAATGTTAGCTTGGAAAAAAAGCCTAGATTATTGGGGCTGGGGCTGTAGCTCAGTGATAGAGCGCTTGCCTAGCATGCATGAGGCACTGGGTTCGATCCTCAGCACCACATAAAAATAAACAAATAAAATAAAGGCATTTAGTCCATCTACAACTACAAAAAAAATAGTTAAAAAAGAAAAAAACCCAGATTATTGATAAATACAGTATATCTCAAAATGAGAACAACCTAACCTCCAAATATGATTATGCTCATAGTGATATTTAAAGTGTATTAGCAAATAAATGAATTGATAGACCCTGGGAATTCACAAATTATCATCTGTAGTTCTTGCTATGCATAAGTGACCTTGTCAACTCACAGCAAACATTAATGTGTAATTTTGCTAAACACAAATTTGAATATCATGTACCATAAGGCTAATATGTTGGACATAGCATCTAGCATTTTCATTGTTCTCGTTATGTCCTAATTCTAATATAATAAAATAAATTTGGTTATTTCTGTAAGTGCTAGAAAAAGAAATGTAAAATATCAAAGAAGGTATCTGTTGTATCTGTTGCTAACCAGAGTTGTCACTCTGTAACTTTTTTTGGGGGGTGCGGGGGTACTTGGCATTGAATTCAGGGGCACTCAACCACTGAGCCACATCCCCACCCCTATTTTGTATTTTATTTAGAGACAGAATCTCACTTAGTTGCTTAATGCTTCGTTTTGCTGAGCTTGGCTTTGAACTTGCAATTCTCCTGCCTCAGCCTCTCAAGACATTGGGATTACAGGCATGTGCCACTGCACCTKGCACTCTAACTTTTCACTATATACTTAAAGATCAAGGTCTGGCTGGATGTGGTGGTGCACATATATATATACAAACATACAAAAATATAACCTTTATATACCAACTTTATATATTTATGCATAAATATAAAGACTATAGATACATGTGTGTATATGTATATATTATGTGTGTGAATATGTGTGTGTGTGTGTATATATATATATAAATTTATTTCTCAACTTCATACATACATAAAATTTATCTCTATACATATAGTCCGTCTATCTACCTTAGCATCAAGGCACATCTTCAAAGAGTGTCAAGAGTTTACGGTAAAATGATTGCAACTTAGAGAAAACCAGAAAACTCTACCTAGTGGCAGTTACAATCAGCACTTAGAGAACATTACCATAAATATCAAAATGCCACATTTCACAGCTCATCTGAATAAATATGTAAACCATAGCCGACGTAGAACGGAACACCACCTGAAACAGGAGGAGAAAAAACATAATTGCATTAGAAAATAATAATGCAGTCAGGCACAGTGGCCCACGCCTGTAATCCCAGCAACTCAGGAGGCTGAGGCAGGATTCCAAGTTTAAGGCCAACAACTCAGCAAGACCCTGTCTCAAAATAAAATATAGAAAAGGACTGGTGATGTAGCTCAGTGGTAAAGCACCATAGGTTCAATCCCCAGTACTACCAAAAAAAAAAAAAAAAAACAATGATGTTATGATTTTGGTGTTGCAAAATGAAGTAGTTCCTGAAGATCTGTTTTACAACAGTGTAAATAAACTTTACACACTGAACTACACATTCAGTGTTTCCTATTGCTGGGCATGGTGGTTTCCTTTTGTAAATTTTATGTGTTTTAACACTTTTTTTTTTTTTTTGTATGTGGGGATTGAACCCCAGGCACTTAATCACTAAGCCACATCCCTAGCCCTTTTTTATATTTAATTTAGAAGACAAGGTCTCACCGAGTTGCTTAGGGCCTCACTAAGTTGCTGAGGCTGGTTTTGAACTTCCAATCCTCCTGCTACAGCCTCCCCAGCCATTGGGATTATAGGTATGCACCACCACACCCAGCTCAATACTGTCTTTTAAAAAGCATGTTTCTTTTCTTTCTTTCATTTAAACAATTACTCAGCTCATACTCTGGTCCTTGTATTATTGGAAGTAATAAGATTTAGTCCCTGCCCTCTTGGAGTTTATAGCACATGATGTCAATGTGAAAAATATTGCAATATGTACAAACAATCCATGAAGATTCATTCACACAAGAAATGAAGCAGAAAGGGCAGAGAATCCACCTGGGCAAGTCACAGAAAGCTCATTATGGAAACAGAACTCGGGCAAAAATATACCAAATGAAAATGAAATCATTTGCCAGTCTAATAAATTATAATTCAAACTTCCTCTTTGCCCAGACTGCCTCACGGAAAAGCATAAGTGGCATTCTGGCCACATGTGTTTTACCATAGGATCTTTGCCCAGTTCTTTCCTCCTCCATGAGGTACTGAAGAGGCTTGATATGAAAGCAGAATATAAATCTGTGACACTCCTTTAGTTAGTTCATTTAGAGACCTGCTTCTTAAAGACAGAAGCATGTTTAAAGATCATACTCTTGGGGCTTTCTATACTCCCTGGGACATAACAGGCATTTGATAAGTTCATTCTCCTTCTCTAACACACAGAACACAAAGACAAAGAGGAAATATACCTTCCAAAATGTCAACTTTGATCATCTCTGGTATTGATTGGTATGAGGAATTTTGTTCCTTTGGGTTTTGCTTGTTTTGTTTTGTTTTTTGCAGTACTAGGAATCAAACCCAGTGCCTCACACATGCTAAGCAAACAGTGAGCTTTATCCTGAGACCTATTTATTTTTTTAAATTATGACATACTTCAGAAAAAGAAATAGAAATATATATTATCTAAATTTTTTATAATAAACATTTAAGGCTCTGATAATCAAAGTTTTTGTTTGTTTGTTTGTTTTGCTAAGACAGGGAAAGTACAAATTCAAGGCCAGCCTCAGCAATTAACATAACCCCCAACAATTTAGCAATCCTTAGTACCTCCACAAAAAAAAAAAAAATTTCTTCAACATGAATTTTGATGGAGACACTCCAACCACAGTACTGCATTCTACAATTGTTTTTTAATGTGCTCTCCACTTTGAAACTGTAAAGTGATAGTTATTATTTCATTCAAAAGGCTTCTAAAAGTCCCTTCCTCTCTTGATTTTTATTTTTGCAGTGTCGGAGATCAAACCCAAGGCCATGTACATGCTAGGCAAGCACTCTATCACCAAGCTACACCCCCAAACAGGTTTGGGTTTTTACAAATAGATTTCTGCAATTCAGTAGTTTCAAGTATATTCACAACATTGTACAAATATCACCATTAATTCCAGAGAATTTCCATCGCTCCAAAAAGAAACCCCATAACCATTACCTCTTATTCCCCAATCTCCCCTCTATGAACTTGCCTATTCTGGATGACATTTCATTAATAATTGTGAATATTTCACACCAATAGAATCATACTCTATGTGGTCTTTTGTGACTGGTTGTTTTCACTCAGCATAATGTTTTCCAACTTCATCCACTTTGTTGCATGAATCCAAAAGAATGTCAAGCTGGAGAGATGAGGGGTTACACTTGTAATCCCAATTATTAAGGAGGCTGAGGCAAAAGGATTGTGAATTCAAGGCCAGCCTAGGCAACATATCGAGACCCCCATCTCAAAAACATTTATTTAAGGGCTGTGGTGTAGCTCGCAGAGCACTTGCCTAGCATGTGTGGGGCACTGGGTTTGATCCTTAGCACCACATAAAAATAAACAAATAAACTAAAGACATTCTGTCCATCTAAAACTACAAAAAAAAATTATTTAAAAAAAAAGTTTTTAAAAAAAATTTTAAAAAAGGAAAAAAAAAGCTGGGCACACTGGTGCATGCCTATAATCCTGGCACCTCAGGAGGCTGAGACAGGAGAATCATGAGTTCAAACCCAGCCTCAACAATGCTGAGGAGCTAAGCAACTCAGTGAGACCTTGTCTTTAAATAAAATACAAAACAGAGCTGGGGATGTGACTCAGTGGCCAAGTGCCCCCTGAGTTCAATCCCTGGTACCAAAAAAAAAAAAAAAAACAAAAGAAAAGAAAAAGGACCTCATATTAACACCCCAACACACACACAGAGAGAGACCCTCAATACACTGAAAATTAAGAATTTCATTCTTTTTTTTTTTTTTGAGAGAGAGAAAAAAAAATTTTTTTTAGAGAGAGAGAATTTTTTTTAATATTTATTTTTATTTTTTTTTTTAGTTTTCAGTGGACACAACATCTTTATTTTTTATTTGTATGTGGTGCTGAGGATCGAACCCAGCGCCCCACGAATGCCAGGCAAGCACGCTACCGCTTGAGCCACATCCCCAGCCCCGACAAAAAAAATTTTTAATATTTATTTTTTAGTTTTCGATGGACACAACATCTTTATTTTTTTATTTTTATATGGTGCTGAGCATCGAACCCAGCGCCCCGCACATGCCAGGCGAGCGCGTTACCGCTTGAGCCACATCCCTAGCCCAAGAATTTCATTCTTATTGCTGAAAATTATGTAGAAATACCACATTTTTGTTTCTCCATTTATCAGCTGATGAACAGCTGGCTAGTTTCTACTTTTGGGCTATTATACATAATCCTGTTGCAAACATTCATGTACAAGTTTTGGTGGGTACATATGCTTTTCAGTTCTCTCAGGTAAATACCTAGGAATAGAATTTCTGGGTAATATAGTAACTATGCAGTATCCTTGGAAATATAACCCAAGGCTTATAGATGCTAGGCAAATGCTCTACCACTGAGCTACACACAGTTCACTGTGCTTAACTTTTTGAAGAACCATTAAGCTGTTTTCCACAGTGGCTGCACCATTTTACTTTCCTATCAGGACTATATGAGGTGAGAGGATCACTTGAGCCCAGGAATTCCAGGCCAACCTGCATAACACAGCAAGACCCCATCTCAAAAAATAAACATAATAAAAGTTGCAGAAATAAATACTCCCTTTCCCTTTAAATTTAACACTTCTAATCTTTTTTTTTAATATTTATTAGTTGTTTAGTTATAGGTGGACACAATATCTTTATTTTATTTGTATGTGGTGCTAAGGATTGAACCCAGTACCTCATGCATAGTAGGCAAACGCTCTACCTCTGAGCACAACCCTAGCCCTACTTCTAATCTTTTTGGGGTTGGAAAATCAGGTAAGTAACCTGGTAATAAAGTTTTTCTTTAAATAAGCGGTCTGGGGCTAGGGCTGCAGCTCAGTGGTAGAACACTTACCTAGCATGTGTGAAGCAATGGGTTTAATCCTCAGCAACACATATAAATAAATAAAAGTCCATGACAGCGGGCGAGGTAGAACACACCTATAATCCCAGCGGCTGGGGAGGCTAAGATAGGAGGATTGTGAGTTCAAAGCCAGCCTCAGCAATGGCAAGGCACTTAGCAACTCAGTGAGACTCTGTCTCTAAAAGACAAAATAAGGCTGGGGGTGTGGCTCAGTGGTTCAGTATCCTTGAGTTCAATCCCTGGTACCAAAAAAAAAGATTGGACATCCAATTGCACATCCAATAAATGACATTCATCTTTTCAAAAAGAAAAAAAATGTGAGAGAACAACTAGAAAAAAATATTGAAAAAAATAATAATAAGAGGGCTGGCTGGGGTTGTGGCTCAGCTGGTAGAGCACTTGCCTAGCACATATGAGGCACTGGGTTCGAGCCCCGGCACCATGCCACATAAAAATAAAATAAAAGCATTGTGTCCATTTACTAGAAAAAAATTTTAAAAAATAAAATAAAAAATAAGAGGGCTGACAGATGGTATAGCTCAGCGCTAGAATGTGTGCTTAGCATGTGCAAACTCCTGCATTCAATCCCCAGCATTAAAAAAAAAAAAAAAAATGCAGCCAGGCATATTGGCGCACGCCTGTAACCCCAGTGGCTTGGCAGGCTGAGGCAGAAGGATCCTGAGTTCAAGGCCAGCTCAGCAAAAGCAAGGTGCTAAGCAACTCAGTGAGACCATCTCTAAATAAAATATAAAATAGGACTGGGAATGTGGCTCAGAAGTCAAATGCCC